TTGACCATCCAACCCTATGCACAACAAATAATAAATAAAATTCATCAATAACTCTAGAACGAATAGAAAAGAATATAGACTAATAATAGCAAGTAAAATAATGCTGCTGATTGTAGGAATGAAGAGAGAAATTCCATAAATCAAAGAGATAGACACACACATACACAGTGGAGAAGAAAGGATTTTTCCTAAATTTACCATTAATATATTCATGAACAGAAAATGGAAAATACAAGGGAACCTTTCGATCAAATAGAATTAAACCCTTCAAAAACCAAAAAGGGAAAAAAATATGCCATAATATTGAAGGTAGATAAATTATTATCCTCAAGCTAGATAACAAGAACGGGCAAAAATAATAGTTAATGTAGAAAAATTATCATCCTAAACCCAGATATCTGGAACTGGTAATTGCTTGAATAGAAGACAAGTAAATCCTAGCTAATGGTAGGATCGCAGGATAGACTAACTCGTACCCTTTTTATGGCAAAAGTCCATCTTATTTGTCATACAACACAAGGAAATATGCAACTCAGTGCTATTACCAGTACCAGGGGGATTTTTGTTGTTATTGGTAGAGTTGGATGGTACAGGATTACTCAGTATTTTGAGATTTTGAATCAAATGTCTGCAACTTCAATGATATTTTTCTCAGGTAATCAGACTGCAATTAGAGGCCAAGAAAATATCTTGTGTAAGCGATTCATGACTTTTAGAAACAATCATTACTATCATTACTCGCATGTGACTTTTTAACGAGGTTTAAACTTGAGATTAGTTGAGCCTTGAAATAATGGGCTAGGTTTATTAGTATCCGAATAACCCTAGTATAAATAATCTTAAAGATTTGTATTCAGGCAAATCAATGACCGACTTTTCCAGTTAGTCAGCTTTGTAGGCTTGCTTTACACCTCCATCTAACACGTAAACTCCGGTGACACCAAGTGCTCTGAGCAGCTCCAGTTTTCGTGCAACTTTGATAGCGGGTCCAACATATCCAAGTAGGCGAGCTTGCATAATAATATTATTTTTAGCAATAAAAAGCACCAAATTCTTTAGTAGGAAATTTTGTTTGCTCAGCCACAACATATGTCTCTTTTTTGGGGAAATGATGAACATGAATCTAAATTACCATAACACCAGAAGGTTTTCTAAGTTAGGTTCCTCGTAAGAATTGTATAACATGGTTAAACAATTGACTATCTTTGAACTAATTCAAATTAATGAAGAATCCAAAGAAAATAAACTAAAGCCCTCTAAAAACATAAAGGTTTTGGCCTGGGTCCATCCTGACAGAGGTTCCCCCAGCACCAACAGTTGCCTGGATTGAAAAATTCAAAAAACAGAAGCATGACTGGGTGATCGCGTTATATTTATAATAGTGCTAATCAACAGAAAAATCTTTAATTGATTGCGTCAACCCTTTACTCACTTCCGCTTATCACTGCAGCAAATGTAGTTTTTACTAATTAGATACATTTCACACTTGCTTCTATTTTTGGTTCCACGAAATAAAAGTTGGGCTACTTGCAACACTCAGAAATCCTACCACAGACTCAGAAATCCATTGTTCTCTTGCAATTGCTTTACTAGTTGAATTTCACCACAAAAATTACTGTAATAAAAGTAAATTCAGATTCCATCTGAATAGACCTGCAGCAAAGTCAAACCTAATCACCACAACGAGATGAAGAAGACTCAAGACAACGGAAAGGGGAAATTATTAGGTTCAAGACAGTAAAGAAATGAAATTCAAGGACGACAGAAGTAAATTTTTACAACATGGAATTAATTTTGAGAATGAGTAATGAACAGGGAAAAGAATCAAGACAAGCTAACAAGCAAAGATTCATTCAAATTTTGCAGTCAAACGTTGCTAGACAGATAGAGTGTGTTTAACTCCTTTCGTTGAGAGGAAGAAGAAGTCTGGAAGAAGGAATTTACCATCGATAAGAAACCTAGAGGGAGAGAGGAGAGAGAAGTTTGGTTGAGGATGATGACCAAAGAATGCATATGAATGAGATAGATAGATACCAAAGGCTATTAAATTCCAAAAACTACTTTGGCTGAATTAAAGCCCATGGAGCGCTGATTCTACTAAAGGTAACAACTTACAACTGTTGATCTACTAAGATTAAAAACAATCCGCCATGATGGCTGGCCACTTGTAATCATAGATAGATATTTTGATTCAGGAAATCATGAAGGATTTGGTTTGAAAAAAATTGAAGTTCTATCTATTCATTTTATTCAAACATGTTTTATAAATATGTGATTGATTTCTTGTTGTTTAAGAATGATAAAAACCCTAATATGTTAAATAATTTATAAATTCATTTGTTGGTAATTTATAATTTACAAAAAAAATGTTATAATTTATGAAAAAATTTGCTAACCCACCTTAAAATAGGGCATTAAACAAGTGATTTTATCTGTGTAAAACTCCTTTAATGATTAAATTTAATTTTATTAGATACACAAAATGAAGATATATATAGATATATTAAATTTATTTATATATTCATGTATGTACATATGAAGTGAAAAATTAATTGACGTATTATTTAATTAAGGAATAACAATCAAATTTATTCGAATTGGGATCAAACACCTGTGAATACACTAAGTCATAAGATTTTTAAAATAAATATGAAATAATACATCAATAATAATAGTTATAAGTAATACAGTTGTAATTAGCACAGTTATGTTAATACCTCCTAAGATGTGCTAAAATTATGACCAATATCTAGATATTTGAAAACTGTGGGTAGCTTTCATAATCTATGGTAGAGTTTGCTAACTGAAAGCTATCATGAGTTACCATTGGGAGTTGTTTACATAATTAATATGAGAAAGACATTTTACTTTCTTTATTTTGAGATTTTTTATTTTAAAAAATGCTTAATTTGAGATTTTTTATTTTCTTTTAGCTAACAAGAAAGGTAGATATTGAAGAGAAAACTAGATAATAGTCTCACAGTTCCTACACAGCTTTCAAACATATTTATTGACAAATACAAATTCTGTCTAGTACCCAAATCAGCAAAAATTTTAGATATAAACATAAATGGAACTCTAGCTATAATGCCAAGTGTGTTAATCTTCCCTCCATGTACCATAAAGTATATCATCATCTTCTAGAAAAAATGAGTTTCTTCCCAGGTACATGCTTCTAATCTTACAGAAAATATCTCAGCATTCTAACAATCTTTTGAGAGAGAATAAAAAGCATATTCACCAAGATCCTTAGCTAATGTCAAAGTCAAGTTTGGATATCAAAAGGTCGCCCAACACCACCTTCTTTCACATGGATTGATTATTAGACTTTACCGCCTCCACTGAAGGTTTAACTCACCTATTAGAGCCATTTTCACATATGAAACAGCGATAGATAGAAACAGCAGAGACTTTCTACATGCTGTAGAAATTAACATCATATTCTGCTATATATGACCCGGAAACTACATGCATTATAGGCTCAAAAAGATATTGAACTTGTATAGAATTCTTTGGGGTAAGTCCTTCACAAGCTGGTGATAAGTTATGGGAAACAGAAAGATCATAGATATAAACAATAAGGTGTCCTGTAATAAGCATAAAAATACTCTTTTCGGAGTTTGCAGTTAGGAAAATAATTTTCACTGAGTGGTATTAAGTCCTGTAATAAGCATAATAATATTATTTTTAGCAATAAAAAGCACCATATTCTTTAGTAGGAATTTTGTTTGTTCAGCCACAAACTAAAGCCCTCTATAAACATAAAGGTCTTGGCCTGGGCCCATCATGACATGGGTTCTCCCCCAGCACTAACAGTTGCCTGGATTGAAAAATTCAAACAACAGAAGCATGACTGGGTGATCACGTTATATTTATAATAGTGCTAATCAACAGAAAAATCTTAAATTGATTGCGTCAACCCTTTACTCACTTCCGCTTCTCACTGCAACAAATGTAGTTTTTACTAATTAGATACATTTCATACTTGCTTCTATTTTTCGTTCCACGAAATAAAAGTTGGGCTACTTGCAAGACAACTGAAAGTGGTACAATGGCATTGATATTACTAGAGGACAAAGTGCTAAAGTAATCACAGATGTAAGACCCAGAGGAAGCAAAAATTTATCCACCCAACATTTGTAACAACATATCAATATCTGTTAAATGCAGAAGCATAAATAATGAATCATAATGTATCTCTTTTCTCTCATGTGTCTTCTGTGTCTCTAAATTTCTTGCACACTAGACAAAGACAATAGCAACTGACAAATATTACTATAAACCCATTCTTTCTCATACAACTGTTCTAGATGACGGGTTAGCATACAAATATTCTTCCAAGTTGACTATCCAACCCTACAATCCTCTCCTCCCCCTCCTCCCACCCCCAACAACCAGCAAAATAAAATAAAAAATAAATTTGAATTAGAATAACAAAATTTATATGGATAACAAATTACTAATAATAATTCAACAAAAACTATAGAACCAATAGAAAAGAGAAGACCGATAGCAAGTAAAATAATGCTGCTGATTGCAAGAATGAAGAGAGAAACAATGTGAAACCAAGACATGCACACATATATATACACACAAACACACTAGATAAGAAAGGATTTTCCCTGAATTTACTATAAATATTCATAAAAAGAAAATGGGAAATACACAGGAACCTTTCTATCAAATAAAAGTAACCCCTCCAAAACCAAAAAAGAAAATAATAACAATATTATACCATAATAGCTAAGGTGGAAAAATTATCATCCTCGATCCAGATAATGGGAACAAGAATAGTTAAGGTAGAAAAATTGTCATCCTCAAGCCAGATAATGGAAACATGCAAAAATAACAGTTACAGTAGAAAAATTAATATCCCGGACCCAGATATCTGGAACTGGTAATCTGAATAGAAGACAAATAAAATCCCAGCTAATGATAGGATTGTAGGACAAACTAACTCACCAATAGACCCATTTTTTAGCAAAAGTCCATTTCATTTGTCATATAAAACACAACGAAATATGCAGCTCAATGCTATTACCAGTATCAGGGGGACTTCTGCCGTTATTTGCAGAATTGGGTGGCAGAGAATTGCTCATAGTATTTTGAGATTTAGTCTCCATTGTCAGCATCTTCAATGATATTTTTCTCAGGTAATCAGACTGCAATTAGAGGTCAAGAAAATATTTCGCGTAAGCAATTCATGACTATTAGAAACAATCATTGCTGTCATATAGAGTCAATACAGAACTTTCTTTTCCAGATTTAATCAACAACTTATATATTCAGCAGAAAACAAACAAATGGCCAAATACAAACAAAAATTTTCCAAGAACTCAAAACTGCCCACATGCTGTACATACCTGGCTTGTGGCTGTGGTGAAGATTTTCTCCTCAAACCTTAGTGCAATTTTCTTGAGTTCTTGAAGTCCTTCTGGTCCAGAAAAAGGAAGATGCCTCTTCAAAGTTTCCATTCTGCTCATATTGAATGTTACAAATTTAAATGGTTAATTGTCATGCAGCTACAAGGAAGATTATCCGCGGTTAAAGAGAAAGTGTTAACTCACGTGGAATGTTAAAATTTAATTGGTTAATTGTCATGCAGATACGAGAAAGATTATCCATGCTTAAAAAGAAATTGTTAAATTAATATACATTGCTGGGCCAGTATCCTAACAGCTTAAGCTTTCAGGCTAATTGACGATCGTAGTACCAAGTCACCAGCTCTAGGAGATCCTGGGTTTTTATCTTTTTATCAATGTTCACCCCCATTATCTCAGTCATTGTGCACCTATATTTTTTGCTCTGACTCATTCTCAATTGTCTCTTCACATGCAAGACAAGGTTCCACAAAAGCATGAATCTTAACTTGTATTACATTACTGAGCATCTGGGCCTATGTCCTAACAGCTCAAGCCTTTTGGCAAGTAGTTATCCAAGAAAAATGAATTGGCAACTGGACTTCTGAAGCAACAAAAGGTTGCTTCATTCAAGGTACACAATCCAAAAGCACAGCAAACAAAACATGTCATTATTTATTCCTTGTGCCTTCAAGCCATAGTACTCCCTGGAGTCCAAAATATATGAGAATTTAAAAAGTCCGGCATTAACCTCTTGTAGACCCCATTATATATCAGTCCATACTCTTTAACTTGCAAAAAATAAACATCAGAATAAAAACTTTGCCAAACTTTTAGGGGTTCACATAATGTAATAGTAAAACTCGAAAGCCTTAGAACCACAGCTGTGCAAAAGAGGAATATTCTTTTGCCTGTTACCATGCAAGTTCTGCACAGTTCAATATTGTGTACCTACTAAACAACTGATTATTCCAATGTTAACTAGCTGCCAACCCAGAATTAACAGAAATTACCAAAATTTAATTTCTAAACAACAAGAATTGAATGGACAGCTTTAAGCTAGAGATAATTAGAATACTACGACATCTGGAAGCCACTTTTATTTACAGCATTTTGTTTTCTCAAACATAGAAACCAAGTACAAGAAAATTATCGCATTAACACCAAGGTTGTTAAATCTTGAATCGTATCGAGAATCGTTTTTATATTTTTTGAATCGTGAATCGCGAATCGTATCGTATTGTAAGATTCAGAAATATATTAATAAATTTTTAAATATATAATTACATACTTAAAAAATAAGCAAAATACTTTCAAAAATATCAAAATATTATAAATCATGTCATATTGATGAAAAAATTCTAATCTAAATACTAATTTCTAAATAATCAATACATATTCATTCTCATCTCTTCCAACACTAATATTATTAATTTGTACATCATCATTAACTATCTTCATTCTGCTCGTCTCTATTTTCACCATCAATCTTATTCACGTGTAAAGCTATAGTGACCCCACCAAACACACCAAACATCCAATCAATGTCATTCTGGTCAAATACCACGTGCGATTTGAATCGTTGATACAAATCGCACCGATTCGTGTGATTCGTTCATGATTCATGCTCGTATAGGATTCATTTGGAGATACGTATCGGTGGGATACTGACTCGTATCGAATCGTGTGATTCGAATCGCGAATCGTAGGATTCTAACAACTATGATTAACACAATCAAAGTACTAGGACTAGGGATCAGGTCATTAAATACATTAAGAGATGTATTCCATACTTTCCATTTTGCCATTCAGTTCTAGCCATTTCTGCACCTTATAATCAACCCGAACATTGTGCACCTCTTTAGAAGGAAATGATTTGTTCACAAAAATAATTTTCAGTACTCACAGTTTCATTATAACAACAACCTCAACGCAAATATATTGTATTTCTCAAGAAAAAAGGAGGCCATTACCATAAATGACCCTCTTTATACATTCTCCATTATTTCAGGTTTGAATCCCAATCCTTGAAATATCAGCTATCCACCTCTGATAGATGAGAATGCGATTAAATAAGTCAACCAATATTTCCAAAAAGGCTGTATCCCACTCAGGTATATTGGAGTTCCTCAATCTCTCTAACTTAAACCTACCAGTTTTGTCCATAAATATACAGAATTGTTGCACAAGTAAAGAGTTCAACTGGAAATTTCCTGCCTCAGAAAAGCAGTCTCAGTAAGCATTCAGAATTATAGGCCTATCTTTGTGTTGTTCCAAACTCCATTCTGAGGAAAGAACAATGCTTAAGATTTTTCTTTTCTTTTAATGAAGATGAACTGATTTGAAAATCGTTGGATCTAAAGTAGCTCTGGAAAATGTTATAACTCTTCAGTGAAGAACTACTTATAATTAAAGTTCTTGAAGTCAACTACATCTGTGTACATTTGGATCATTTGTTAACCTTCATTTTTATCTCTCTAAGCTCAACGGTCTAAAACTAATTTGTCTAGGAAAAATATTTTCTAGGTGGCTAAAGTTCACTGGAAAATGCAACTTTGAGCTAAACGAAGCCCTTAAAACTCTGTGAACTTGCTTGACCTTGTATCCATAAATTAGGTAATAGTGGATCAATTTCTCTTTGGTTTGATGATTTGCATCCACACGAACCCATTCATTTCATAGTTAAGGAATAGACTCATCTATAATGCTACAACTGGAGATTGATAATGGTTCATCTTAATCAATGATTCAATGATGCTCTTCATACACTCTCTATTACCTAAGATTGGATCCCAGTCCTTCAAAAAGACAGCTATTCACCCACAGTATGGATGACAATGCTATTAAACAAATGAACCAATGCTTCCAATTCCAGAAAAGCTCTATCCCAGCTAGGTATCTTAGAGCTCCTCAAAACTCTATTTGACACTGAAAACTACCAATTGTTTTCATAGGTAGAGAGAATGGTTGAAAGGGTGAATAGTTTGACAGAAAATTTTCTATCTTGTGCTGGCATACTGCAAGTCACCAAAGAAGTCCCTTTAGTATTAACAACTTCTAGGCCTATTATTGTATTCTTCCAAACTGCATTTGAGGAAAGAAAATGCCTGAGATTCTTCCCTTTTTTTGAGAAAACTGGAAAGAAACTGATTTGAAAAGCCTTGGAGCTAAAATAGCTTGGGAATCGTGTTTGCAAAGCCTTCAATAAAGGACTTGGAATTAAAAATTTAGATGTTTGGAATAAGGCTGCTATATATAGGTACATTTGAATCATTTATAACTGTCCTCTTTCTCTCTTTGGGCTAAATGCGCCAAAACTAATTTGCTTAATCATGCTAATCTCTAGGTAGCTAAAATTCCTCAGGATGCAACCTCTTGTTGGAGGAACATTTTACAACCTAGTAATCTTGTTCAATGTCTAATCCTCCAATATGTAATAGTCAATAATTCTCTTTGGTGTCATAACTGGCATCCATGGGATTTCATTCATTCATGGTTAAGGAACAGACCCACCTATTGCGCAGGCATTCGGAGAAATACAACAAATGCTAGAACCCTAGAGATTGAATGTCCTAGACCTTAATGTAGCATTTTGTTTCTCAAGCCCAATCCTCACTCATCCAATAGCATAATCAAGAAGCCATTTTCACCAAAAGGCTTCTGTATCGGATCAGCATGTGATGCTTCTAGAGTTTCTTATCCCAAACTTGTATGGGCAAATTTGATTCTATTTAAATTTGCTACTCTTAGGTACATCTTCATTCTTCGGCTTGCTATTAGGAGGAAAGTCTCTACCCAAGTTCATTGATGAAGAATTGGCCTAATTCTGCTTATTAAGTGCAATCTGCATGGTGGTTTTATTGAGGGTCAATATTATTTATTCAGTTGTTCTTTTACACAATGTAATTGGTTTGGTTTGTTTAAAAGGAAAGATCAGCACCACCATCAGGTTCATGGAATCAAATAATTGGATGGGAATTGTCCAAACTCAAAGACAAGACACTTCCCAGCTACATCTACAGGTTTATTCTCTCATAATCAATTTACTTCATTTGCTCTGAAAAGAACAAAGGCTATATCCATCTCCAATGATTAATAAGTATATTTGTTGGGATATTTCTCAGATGATCTCCATGCGACTCTCTGAATCAGATCAGGTCTCTCACAGAAAAATTAATTGTCAATCACAAAAGCCATGGAAATTGTCCTCCTCGATTTTCTTGTAGCGTTTAACCCAGATCAGGTCTCCCGCAGAAAAATTAATTGTCAATCACAAAAGCCATGGAAATTGTCCTCCTCAATTTTCTTGTATTGTTTAACCCGAAGAACGGCCTGTTTGGATATGCATTTAAAGCTTATTTTTCTCTGGCTGCTAGCTTATTTTTGTACGCCCTTCTTATTTGTTCATGTGTTCTTATCTATCCATTCACTTCTACAATGGAGAAAAAAAAAGAAAGAGCACACTGTTAGCAACAGTACGATCAATTGAGAGGAATACAGCAGAACAAAATGAATAAAATTTATGAGTAAACAATTCATGAACAATTGGTTAAGGATGCGAGAAAGACCTATAAACCCAAAAAGAGAGGACAGCGACTGCGGTTGCCCTCAAATAAAACAGTCATCGATAAAAACGTGAAACGTTATGGGAGAAAGGAAGAAAAAATTGGAGATACAAGGATTTTAGGAATTTACATCTTGTTGACCATCCTCTGCGATATTCAGGTTGCAGTTGAGTCCTCCAATCACCCGTATCCATGGTCGGTTCACCGCCGCCTTGAGCAGGCCTCCAGTTATTGTTATCCATACCACTCACTGAATCAATCAATCGATCAATCAATCAAAAGATTTTACCGTCTATCAGTGACGAATGATAATCAAACATGGAGTCAACACAACAAAATGGAGAAAAAAAAAAAAATCAAACCCAGTTAGAGGAGGAACTACTAACGGAAGCTCAGGGTGCAGTCGGATCTAAAGAAGATGAGGACAAAGGCAAGGCAAGGCAACGACGAAGCAGAACGATCACGACTGTACAAAAACGAGGTTTGTTCAAGATTTAACATTTTCAAGAGGTACGCAATTTCACATGATTGGGTCAAATTCAGTTTAAAGTTATTGTTTATCCTACCACAGACTCAGAAATCCATTGTTTTCTTGCAATTGCTTTACTAGTTGAATTTCACCACAAAAATTACTGCTATAAAAGTAAATTCAGATTCCATCTGAATGGACCGGCGGCGAAGTCAAACCTAATCACCACAACGAGATGAAGAATCAAGACAACTGGAAGGGGAAATTATTAGCTTTAAGATGGTAAAGAAATGAAATTCAAGGACGACAGAAGTAAATTTTTACAACATGGAATTAATTTTGAGAACGAGAAACGAACGGGGAAAAGAATCAAGACAACCTAACAAGTGAAGATTCATTCAAATTTTGCAGTCAGACGTTGCTAGACAGATAGAGTGGAGTTTAATTACTTTCGTTGAGAGAAGAAGAAGTCCAGACGAAGGAAATTTACCTTCGATTAGAAACCTAGAGGAT